CGCCGAGACGGTCAAGCAGCTGGTGGACTTCATGTACAGCGGCTCGCTGGTGGTGCTCCATTCGCAGGCATCCTCACTCCTCACCGCCGCCTCCATCCTGCAGATCAAGACCGTGATCGACGAGTGCACGCAGATCAGAGACGCGCCACGCGCCGCCGTGGCAGGAGCCGGGCCTCTAGGGAGGGGGCCGGGGGAGGGGCCATGTGTCGAGGAGATGGGATGGGTGTGGCAGGGGGCGTGGTCATGTGCAGAGGGGAGGGGCTGGGTGTGTCTGGGGGCGGGGCTATGCTGAAGCCCACCAGCTGCTCGCAGGAGATGGGCTACATGCTGAACGCGGAGCGCGGCGCGAGCACGGCGAACGAGAACATCGCGGCGAACGAGCGCGACGGAGGGGCAGAGTACGGCGGTGTGGGGGAGGAGCTGGTGGGCGGGGTGGAGCACTTCAGTGAAGACGAGGAGAGAGACGCGGACCGAGATGCCGAGAGAGACCGGCAGACGCCGCATACGCGCAAACAGAGACAGCCGCTGAGACTGCAGGTAACGTTAACACTGATCCTCTTTACAAGCCACTGCTACCCTGTCAGATTTTACTACCTCCCTTTACAACAGTAGCATTTGACAACGAAAAATGCTACCTGTCAAATTAGGGTTTATTAACATCTACACCTATCCCAACCCTAAACCTACCCTTACAGTAATGCAAACACAGTAATTATTGTTGTTCAGCGTGAGAAAAATTATGCAATATTGATGTGCACATGCGCAGTAAACCCTGGTAGGACAATCTGATGGGTAGGATAAAATGTTAGGACACTGTTTCATGATTTAGTGCCATGGTCTTAATTTCCACAGTTGCGCAAATCTGTTTTACCGCACAGCCCAACTCTGTTTTTCCTCCCTGTTCGTTAACATCTTGCCTACATGATCTTAAAGTTTGGATGGATCAAAATTTCTTAAAATTGAATACTGAAAAAAATAGATTTTCTCTGTCTCCTCTCATTGTAGTTATAGTTAATCCTTCCCCCATTATAGGTTATCTATTAATGCAATGTAAAGCGTGCTTGGGTTTTGAAAGGCGGTGTTTGAATGGAACTGCGTTTGGTGAGCGTGAGGACTGTGTGCAGGTGCTGGGTGGAGAGCATGTGGTGGTGAAGAACGAGGGTGTGCAGGATGGAGACGGTCTGTTTGAGATGGACGAGAGAGGAAACACAGCGCATCAGCCCGCCTACGCACAGGTACGACAAGCACCACCTCCTGTCACAGCAATATGGAGCAATCATGAGGGGAATCCCTTGCTACAAATAACCCACAGTTCTTTGCATCGGCGTGAACACTACTGTGAAACGATGGTGGCAGCTGCACGCTCTACTGCAAGTCATGTTAACTTTTTCAGCTAAAAAAAACAATACAAACAGCAAATCGATTCGATTCATAATGTTTTGGTTCGATTCGAGAACAGCTCTGGGCGTCTAAAGACGGCAGACGTGTGCGTGCGTGTGCGTGCGTGTGTGTGTGTGCGTGCGTGTGTTGTGTGTGTGCGTGTGTGTTGTGTGCGTGTGTGTGTTGTGTGTGTGTGTGTTTGTGTGTTTCAGGGCAGCTTCTACGAGGACTCGGCCGTGTTCTCGGGCGGTTTCTGGCCTCAGGCGGATCCGCAGGCGTCTCTGGGCTCAAATCCTCGCGGTAGGGTCACCAAACCCCCGTCTCCGCCGCCGGCCTCCCAGAACCTCAGCAGCCAGGTCTGCCGGCCCGTCGCGGTTAAGCTAGGCACGCCGGTGCGCTCGGCTAACGCTAGTTCGTCTGTGTTCGCAGATGCTGTTCCAGTTTTCTACCAGCGAATCACAGCAGCCGTCCTTCTTCGTGGGCGGACCCATGGTGATTGACAGCCTGGCTGAGTCATGCCAGCAGGCCCCGCCCCCCGCCTCCCTGACCCCGGCTCCGCCCCCCTCCACCCCAGCATGCCTGGCGGGGCCCAGCTTCGCTCCGCAGGGCTCGGAGACGTCCTTCGACTGCAGCCACTGCGGGAAATCACTGCGCTCCCGCAAGAACTACAGCAAGCACATGTTCATCCACTCCGGTACGGGCTTCAGTTACAATAACAATAACAACTCAGTTAATATCAAAGTACTTTCTGAGTCACTTAGGTCAAGTGATTTGTTATGACTCAGATTTAATTAGCTGCTCTCTGGACAGCCAGCAAGGCTAAACCAGTGTCCTGTACTACACATCAGAAGCGCTGCAGGTCCAGCATGTGTATGAAGTAGGACTGCATCAAACCATTATTTTGATAATCGATTAATCTAACGATTATTAGAATGATTAACCGATTAATCATTGATTTATTTCACTGATTAATCAGTAGGCTTTGATTGGTTATTTAGCTTTTGCAGTTAGTTAAAATATTGTGTTATACATAATAAATAAAGGTAATCACATTATGTAAAAAATCATATTATGTAATTACAATTATTATATACAAATAAATATATTTGGCGCACAAAATTAGATGGCAGAGAAACTCTTATTCACCATTTAATTAGCTATATGAGAAAGTAACTGAATGACACGTCATTCTGCCTAACATCTCCTTTTGTAAGTCATTTGGATAAGAAACCACATAATCTCCCTTAAAATACAGTATAGGGTTATGATAATCTAAACAGTCCTGAGCTAGATCAAGCTTTGATCTCTGCAAACCAAACCATCACTTTAATGAAATCTTTTTCCCACTAATATAGAGATTTGAGCATTAGCTTTAGCTCCACACTGGAGAGCTGCTTTATAACAGAAAATCAGGTTGTAATTCTAACTGAAAGCGACACTGACTCTGGTTTTTCATGTTTAATACTGTAAAGCTGCTTGATTTAAGGCTATCTATTGCATAAAGCACTATATAAATAAACGTGAGGTGACTGGACTTTACTGGAGTACCGAACAAACATCCACATCGCTGTAATCAGATGCTGTCTTCACTGGGGATCTGTCTCTGGGGCTCATCTAGTTGTCCTGCTCTCCGCTGACATTCAGGACTGTAGAGGTTCTCTCTAGGTGCTGATCCACCATCTGGGCTGGATACGTACTGGATCCGGGTGACTGCAGTGACCATCTGATCTGGATACAGACTGGATCTGGTGGCTACGGTGACCTCGGAATAAGAGAGAAACAGACTAATATTAGCGTAGCTGCCATTCTTCTAACGATGTAGCAAGTACATCGGGTGTTATGGGAATTAACATTTGACATTGAGAGCATAGGTCGTAATTTAGATATATTTTTGAGATAGAAGAATGCAGTTTTACAAATGCTAGAAACGTGGCTTTCAAAGGAAAGATTGCTATCAAATAGCACACCTATGTTCCTAACTGATGATGAAGAATTGACAGAGCAGCCATCAAGTCTTAGAGAGTGTTCTAGGTTATTATATGCAGAGTTTTTAGGTCCGATAATTAACACCTCTGTTTTATCAGAGTTTAGCAGTAAGAAATTACTCCTCCAGTTTTTTTATATCGACTATGCATTCCGTTTAGGGGTGCAACGGATCGTAGATGATCCGTGATCCGTACGGACCAGGCCCCATGGTTCGGCACGCATGTGATTCGCGGATTCGCTGTTTTCTATGCGCTCAGGCGCTGCCGCCACATGAGAAGCACGCACATGCAGAGAGAGACACTGCGTGAACACCGAATTGATTCCTCTTTCACATACACACAAAGTTATGATACAATACCCGTTTTGGCCAGTATTCTAGTAAAAACAGTCGGTTATGTCTTAAGTGAATGTAAACAGCTGGGAAAGAAACCGGATGTGTGTCAGTATTATGTCCGTGCATTTGGTCTTAAAGAGACAGCAGCCAATAAATACCTGCCTCTGCTAATCAAATAACACTACAGCTCTAACAAAGATTAATCTGTATTTAACTTGTGCAGTGAGCACTATTGTGTTATTTTACACTTAGTTATTACATTTCTGCACCTGAATACTACTGTTACTGACTTTATTTGTAACTGTGTTATGTTGTATTCGTCAATGCTTGTAATTTGTGTAATTGTTCTTATTTTATTACTAACTTTATTAGGTAAGCTAGTATTTTGTGCTGTGGTATAGAAGTACTTAAAGTAAGCTTTCACAAATTTATTTATTTAATTTTTTTGCTGATCCGAAAAATGATCCGATCCTTGACTCAAAATCCGTAATATGATCCGAACCGTGAGTTTTATGATCCGTTGCACCACTAATTTCCACGAAGAAATATAGAGCTGAGTATCATCAGCATAACAGTGAAAGCTAACACCGTGTTTCACTGATGATATCTCCCAGGGGTAACATGTAAAGCTTGAAGAGTAACGGCCCTAGTACTGAGCCTTGAGGTACTCCATACTGCACTTGTGATCGATATGATACCTCTTCATTCACTGCTACGAATTGATGGCGGTCAGATAAGTACGATTTGAACCATGCTAATGACTAGTTTTCTAGTCTATGCAAAAGAATGTTGTGGTCTATAGTGTCGAACGCAGCGCTAAGATCCAATAGCACTAATAGAGAGATACAACCACGATCAGATGATAAGAGCAGGTAATTTGTAACTCTAATGAGAGCAGTCTCAGTACTATGATACGGTCTAAATCCTGACTGGAAATCCTCACATATACCATTTTTCTCTAAGAAGGAATATAATTGTGAGGATACCATCTTTTCTAGTATCTTGGACAGAAAAGGGAGATTTGAGATCGGTCTGTAATTAACTAGTTCTTTGGGGTCAAGTTGTGTTTTTTTGATGAGAGGCTTAATAACAGCCAGTTTGAAGGTTTTGGGGACATATCCTAATGACAATGATGAATTAATAATAGTCAGAAGAGGATCTATGA